AAATCAGCAATTCTCTAGAGAATGAAAAGCTACCCATTCACTCCAGTCATACAAGATCAGCTTTTTCAGCAACTGAGGATAGAGTCACACCCATGCTTGCCTGCAGTAAACTTGAAAGAAGTTGTACCAGGTCTCCCGCAGGTGCAGCTGATGTCAGAATTGTGAAAGTAACTAAAGATCAAACTTGGAAGTACATAAAGTGAAATTCTAATGTGCACTGGAAATATTTTACAGACATTATCAAATTAATCAGATCACACAGGATTATAAGTTAGTTCCTTTTAAAAGTAGAAAAAACCTGGAGCAAATTATTTGTGTTGTCTCTTATCTTCATTTCATCTTACTGACACAGCAATAAGTTATTTAGAATAGGTATAGCCACAGTTCATATGAAAACAACTTTCTTAAATCATTTCCAAAACCAGCACAGGCAGATGATAACTTAAAACATCTTTTCTTCAAATTCAAAAGAGACTGCACCTATTATGCTACCAGGGGAGCGATGAAAATAGGTATTTGTATTTTCAAGGAGCCTTTACACAACACACTTCACACTGCACGGGAACTCACTATCACAGTTCTTACAAAAAGTATGTGCTCGAAAATATGAATGTACAAATCTGCTAGGTTTGTTTAATTTATGATACTGATCTATAACAAAGGTGCAACTTTTTTTTTTTTAAATGAAGAAAAACATCTTGTTAAAAGATTCATAAAATCTTCATTAAAAAACAGGAATAATTATTTTATGAAATCCTCCTGCTCCCCTCTTTTTTTTTGCGCACTTTAATCACAATAATAAAAAGGATCACTGTCAGCATTGAAAGCTAAACTGATACCATCTGGCCCCTGAAAATCTAGAAAAAATGGGAAAACACACATAAGAGCTACAACTAGGCAGCATATGAATTACATGTGTATGATACGAGTCCAAAATTCCTGACAAACAATATAAAACTAAGAGGCATGAAACTGAACCATGCATAATTCAAAATGACTTCAGAAACAGGTATCTAGAAGAAAAGCATGGCAGGGCACAAAGGGGCAATAAAAAAAACCCCACTACAGTCAAGGTTGACTCTTCACATTCAACAGCTCTGAAGAATTTAGTACAAATGCAACACTCAAGATGTCAGAAAAGTACAAGCAGGCACTCAATGTATCCCATTATTATTAATGCAGCAGCAGTTCTGCAGGTTTTACAGAAATAAGGAAAATATGGTAAAATATTTTGACAACATACATGTCCATAAAACAATGGCTATGTTGCTATGCCATCTTTCTTCTTCTAAATGTAAACATCATCTATTAAAAGCTTTGCAAATTATTATAGTTCGTAAGAACAGGAAGGGTAATTTCACTTTAAAGAAGAGCCACCTAATGTAACACATTCAATTGAGGTTTTGTGCAGTGGCAGAAATGTTGAGTTTTTTCATATTCACTAAAATACGCATGATAGTTGATAAGTGCCATACTTGAAATAAAGCAAGGTAAAAACTAAAAAAAAAAAAAAAAAAATACTACAAGCTTTGGCCTTTTAACTGCAGTGACATTTGTACTGCATTCTGTCTTTGACAGTCTAAATTTTTTTATTTCCGTATTTTTATCATTAGTGAAATTCATTTGTGCTAACGGTTGGGTATTTAGATGTGCAATATTAAAAACTGTAACCAAGATATTAATCCTAGGAAAGTGGATGCATAATGTAAATGCTGAGTCAGCCTCAACTACAGTAGCATTGTGAAGGTGTAGCCTAACACAACTTCGATACCTACAAGTCAAGTGACATAAGTTTTGCTCCAAAATGAGTAAAAAGACTTATCAAAAACACACAGGCAGTTTAGACTATGTAAGACTTACAGGTGAGGACCGAGATGCTTCCTTCAGTTTTGACATCGTAGTTTGAAAACTTCCTATGAGATCATGAGACCCATCACTATCATAGTCATAGCACTCAACCTAAAATGAAGCATTATTCAGTGTTAGTAACAGAAAGGGCCCTACAAAAGCAATAAACGCTGCAATGGCATTTCTAGTTCAGGCAAATCTGAACATCCAAAACATTCCTAAATCTCTTATATCATGGAGTTTTTTCTCACACTGCAGTCTTAGAATTGCATAGTTGCATCTAAAAATATGGATTGAGACTAGGTAGAAGCCAATATACCCAGTTTTAGATCAGATCTTCCACTGAAGTGAAGGAGAGACAAGAATACTAAGCAGTATCAGGTCCCACACGAGCAGGTAACATCAATTATATTGAACTGTGTTTTGGGAGTGAGCGGGTGTCAGGAAGAGTAGGAAAACAATCTGTAGGTTTTTTTACTGTCATCATGGATTAAGAGACTTAGTTTTTCGGAGGTATTAAGGAAGTTTAACTATCTCTGAGCATCCAGCTAAAAATTTAGTAAATCAGTTATTCAGGGATCACAAGAGTTTTATTAATACTTTTATATTACTTCATTAATCTTCAGGATAACTCAGAATTTATAAGTATATGAACGTTCAGCCCCCAATCTAGAAACAAGACTTGAATATTTTTTGTTAAGATTAGCAAATTTAAAGTCACTATGATCCACACTTCAGGGATCTGAATGTCAAGTAAAAATCCCTCTTTTCCTGTTTTTTTTTTCCAGTGTTTAATGCTAAGCTTTACTATTTAATCAACTCGTCTCTTCACACCCCAACCCACAAAAGAAGGCAGAACAAGTGAAAAATAAACCTTTTTTTTTCCTGTTTGAGAATCTATTGGTTTGAGTGAGCATAATTTTACCACTGTTATTTTAACCTTATAGTGTCCTCAATTTTTGTGTTTTTAAAAGCCCAACTTATGAATGTGCCCCAACTGCCTTTCTAGATAAAAAACTGGGCGTTTATCTATAAATAGCATACACTAATTCCATCCACTTCTGATATTTTATTTCAGTTTAGCAACACAGACATGCTAGCTAACTTAGTCACAGAAAAACAAATTAAAATAAAATAATTATAAATAATAACAATAATAAATCAAGAGTCAAAGTAGGAATTCCCCATTATTTGGAATCAAAACATAAACATTAAGAAAAACTTTTCTGAATATATATATGGCTTAAACCGAACAGCTATTTTCATGTCCGTCTTTCCAGACTGAAAAAATCCTACGCTATATTCAAGAAACAATGTAGTTAATTACTTGGTCCCTTCATTTAGGAATAACAAAGTAAAGCAAACAACTTCAACATGCACTTTAGCTTCTGAGAGGAATTAACTTTCTGAAAACAAACAGTACTGTTGAAGTACAAAATATGATGCGTAGATTGCAAGTTCTATGCTGTGCAGAACATGCCTCTATGTTGCGGTTTGTACTACTCCTACATTTTGAATGCACTAATAAATAAATAAAATGCATGCACATGCACTGAATAGCAACTTAAATCTCACACAAGCAGCCACAGTACCAACAGACTAATGTTCATGGCAGATGCTGTGTAAAAATTCTTCTGAATGCCATAATTTAAGCCAATCAAATGCTCAGCCAAGTGCTTCAGTACCTGAAATTTAAAACTGAAGACATTTCCTGAGCCAAAAGTTATGACATCTGTCCACAGTTAGCACCGTTATTTCTTTTTCCTTTTAAAGGGACTAAAGTTTGTCTTGCTTGATATATTTGACCCATCTAAGCCAATTTTCAATACTTAATCCAGGCAAGACAGAAATATTTCTTTTGTTCCATGTATACTCCCCGGACACGCAATAGCACTAGGGAACCACATGATAAAATTGCATATATATTTTCCCCAACAGAACTAGGCATGCTTGCTCCAGATGAAAGGCTCACATTTTCAAAACACAAAGACTTCACTGACTTCAAACACACTCACATGGAACACAGCAACAAATCCAGAAGATAAAGAATCAACTTGGTTTGTGCATTGCTGGGGATACACAAACTAAGCCATTAAATAAGTGAAAAGCCACTCATTATGGCAAAGTTGGTGGTTTTACTTACTATGACAAATAGCCCATTATGTATGCAACTGTGCACATATAAAAGTGTTAGAAGTATTGTTTAATCCTTCAACAACATTATAATACAATTCTGTCTGCTTTTTAATGTTTGAAGTGATAGCTCCCAGATTTCGAAGTTAAGACGTAATCCTACTGTCTGTCTGCAAGTCCTTAACAACTCCAAGTAAATTCTATTCCCTCTGGAACTAAACCTACGCTTCTGAGGTAAGAGTCCAAAGAACAGACTTTATTAAAATGATGATAGAGCTCAGAATAACTCCATCTTAATAGACATATTTTAATCAATGGTCTATAGTTTTAGTATGGCTGTTTACTGAAAAAGAGAAATATATTTACAGTATATCATAGAATCATAGAATGCTTTGGGATGGAAGGGACCTTTAAAGGTCATCTAGTCCAACCCCCTGCAACGGGCAGGGACATCTTCAACTAGATCAGGTTGCTCAGAGCCCAGTCCAACCTGCCATTGAATGTTTTCAAGGACGGGGCATCTACCACTGCTCTGGGCAACCCGTTCCAGCGTTTCACCACCCTCATCATGAAAAATTTTTTTCCTTGTGTTCAGTCTACCCTCCTTTAGTTTAAAGCCATTATCCCCTGTCCTATCGCAGCAGGCCTTACTAAAAAGACTATCCCCACCTTTCTTGTACGCCCCCTTTAAGTACTGAAAGGTTGCAATAACGTCTCCCTGCAGCCTTCTCTTCTCCAGGCTGAACAACCACAACTCTTTCAGCCTTTCCTCATAGCAGAGGTGCTCCATCCCTCTGATCATTTTTGTGGCCCTCCTCTGGACCCACTTCAACAGGTCCATGTCTTTTCTGTGCTTAGGACCCCAGAGCTGGATGCAGTACTCCAGCTGGGGTCTCACCAGAGCAGAGTAGAGGGGCAGAATCACCTCCCTCAACCTGCTGGCCATGCTTCTCATGCAGCTCAGGATACAGTTGGCTTTCTGGGCTGCAAGTGCACATTGCCAGCTCACGTCCAGTTTTACATCCAGCAGTACCCCCAAATCCTTCTTTGCAGGGCTGCTCTCAATCCATTCATCCCCCAGCCTGTATTGATACTGGGGGTTGCCCCAACCCACGTGCAGGACCCTGCACTTGGCCTTGTTGAACCTCATGAGGTTCACATGGGACCACTTCTCAAGCTTGTCCATGTCCCTCTGGATGGCATCCCATCCCTCAGGCACGTCAACTGCACCACTCAGCTTGGTGTCATCTGCAACCTTGCTGAGGGCGCACTCGATCCCGCTGTCTATGTCACTGATGAAAATATTGAACAGCATGGCCCCAGTATGGACCCCTGAGGGACACCACTCATCACTGATCTCCATCTGGACATCGAGCCATTGACCACTACCCTCTGGATGCGACCACCCAGCCAGTTTGCTATCCACCGAATGGTCCGCCCATCAAATCCATATCCTTCCAATTTAAAGAGAAGGATATTGTGGGGGACCATGTCAAAGGCCTTACAGAAGTCCAGATAGATGACATCCACAGCTCTTCCCTCATCCACTGATGCAGTCACACCATCATAGAAGGCCACTCGTTTAGTCAGGCAGGACTTGCCCTTGGTGAAGCCATGCTGGCTGTCTCAAATCACCTCCCTGTCCTCCATGTGCCTTAGCATAGCTTCTAGGAGGATCTGTTCCATCATCTTCCCAGGGACAGAGGTGAGACTGACAGGTCGGTAGTTCCCCGGGTCCTCCTTTCTACCCTTTTTAAAAATGAGTGCAATGTTTCCCTTTTTCCAGTCCCCAGGGACTTCACCCGACTGCCATGACTTTTCAAATATCATGGCGAGTGACTTGGGAACTACATCAGCCAATTCCCTCAGGACTCTGGGATGCACCTCATCAGGACCCATAGACTTATGTACATTCAGGTTCCTCAGGTGGTCGCGAACCTGATCTTCACTTACAGCGGGAGGAACTTTGCCCCCCTGATCCCCATCAAATGTTTCGTTGACTCGGGAGGTGGGAGGAGAGAGGTTGCCAGCGAAGACTGAGGCAAAAAAGTTGTTGAGTACCTCAGCCTTCTCCTCGTCTGTTGTTACCAGCTTGCCAGTTTTGCTCATCAGAGGGGGTACGCTTTCTTTAACCTTTCTTTTCTGGTTGACGTACCTGTAGAAGCCCTTCTTATTATTACTCTTTGCATCCCTCGACCCTTCTTATTATTCTTTGCGTCCCTATATGGACATCTAAGAGCTGTCACAGCTATTTTGGGGAAAAGGGAAGCAGAAAGGAATGAGAAGAAAAAAAACACAGAAGCAGCAAGGGAAACAGGTTCTGGGCTTGTGAAGTTGTTCATTAGTCCGCTCTATAATTATGTACTTAAATCTGTACAGGTGCTTGTAACACCCAGATCCCTGTGGCTGTTAAGCATTTTCCAGGACTGCCTCAAGTCATATGACTAATACCTGTCACATGCAGATCATGCTCTCATTTTTCCTTCCCAGAGGAAGAATAGCAAGTATAGTGGTTTGTTTCATTTGGGTTTTTTTCCAAATGCTAAAATATCAGGTTCCTAACATGTTCATAATAGCTTATAAATGGCATTTTGATTGGTTGTTTAGCTTCCCCTAAAGGGAATTCCTGAAGAAAAACATTCAGAAGTTAAACATAATTTATTCAAGATAAGATTTGAAGATACAAAGAGTTAAAGACCAGTCCTGGTAAAACAATCACTTCATAGGTTTGGTTGACTTTCTGACAAAAGTTTCATCTGAGGAGAAAAGTTGCTACATCTAGTATCCACAAGATGCACCTGGTCCACATCTGTTATCTCAGCTAGTATATTAAGTGCAATTAATTTATCAGGTAGTATATTAACAGTTTCATTACTGTTCCCTGTTGCACCAGTAACAAAGTATTACAAGATCTAGAACATAGAGCAAAGCATATTCTAGCCTCTACCACACATCTTTCACGATACAGTATCTTAACACCACCAACGCTGGCTGATGCAACACTAAAGCTGTACAATCTAAATAACAAACTGAATTGGACATTTCAAAGCTACTTAAGTTCAACTGGTTTCCCAGACTTTCAAAGACCAACTTTTACCAGAGGATGCATCACAAACGTGAGATTTTTTTTTTTTTCCTAAAACTTGCATGTATCTCTGTGACTTTCAAATAATAAGAAACAGAAAGAGGCAATAACAAGAATAACACATCTTCCATTTATTACATATCCTACTTTTTTTTAATGTGTTGATTCATACACATATTTCACATACACTACCTTGATTGACTTATCCATGTCACTGTAGCACAGAGAATTGAGAGAGATTTTAAAGGGCCTCCAAACAGGATTCAGGTTGTTTTTAATAACCTGTTTGAGGGGGGAAAAAAAAAAAGTCAGAATAGTATTCTTCACAAGAGTGGAAAGTAGTCATTGTAATTGGTCATACCTTCATGCCATGATTTTTCTAAGCAAAAACAGTTGACTAATACTGCTGTCAATCACTTCCTGCAATCCAAATCCTAACATATAGGATATAAACACACTAAACATTCCTAACATGCAGTAGTATTGTCCAAAAGAGATGGTATCTCTCAACTCCATATTTTTCTACACTGCAGTGATCTAGTATATCGTTCAACTACTACACTGTAAAAAATTACATTTCTTTATCGTTACATAAATATTGGGGCTTTTTTAATAAGCCCACACATATATACATACACACAAACATATATGAAAGCATAAATTACTAAAAAAACATGGAAAAAGATTACATTGGAATTTCTGAATACATCAATGCTCTGGAGATTACAATTCACTCCAACTTACATTTACTCTGAAATGCCACTTATAGAAATGTTCCCTCAAGAAATTCATTGTATAGTTAAGCAGAAACAGTGCATGAGGATACAGACACCCTACTGCACACAGTCTCTCAAGCTGAATGCTAAATAAGTGATATTTAAGAATAATACTGAAGAATCTTCAGAATTTGTCAACTGGAAAGCATCTGTAATATACCCAATACACCAGATGATGATCTTAAAAAGCACAAGAAACTACACACAACAAGCAATACTTTATTAATAATACCTAATAATAGTAATACTTATACTTCCAGCACTGTAGGCGTGCAGAGAAAGAAGTCTCTCTTTCGAAAATGAAAACAGTAAATAATGGTTAGTAACATAAAAAGGTTTTTAAAATCTGTAACATAAAGAACTAATCCTCCAGACAGTTCTAGGCTGGAACAGGAAATTCTGGATTCATTACTGAAATTGAAGATGACTGAAATCCTCATGGAAAAGATCTATTTTATGCAGAACAACCACCTCATGAGAGAAACTATTTTTATAAATCTGACACAAAAGGAATTTATACTTCTTCAACATCCGTGCTTCAAAATTAATATGGTCACCACTTCAAATACGCACAGTACCTCAGTTGTGACTAGGGCCTGAGCTTCCACTACGGTGAGATATTTTGAACCTACTCCTACCCTGTCAGTTGCTGCCATGGGACCTCTGCACCTCCTCCTGGATGTAATGCTGCTGCTGCTCAAGCACGTTTTCCTCTCATGCAGCACTAGCCTTGGCTTGCCCTTGCTATGCAAGCATTCTGTACAATTACTTTCATTAGTAAATGGTTCAGCTAGGTGACACTGGCATTAGGAATGCCCAAGTTCTAACCTCAGACTAGCATTGAGACGAATGTCCCTGTGTGAGTACGCACTACCTTTTCAAAATATTTGTTTTCTTCTAGATTGCAGAAAGTTTAAAAAACAAAAAAAAAAGTATTTTCCTTTAAAATAGGAAGGAATAAACCAAAATCAGAATAAGGTAGACTTCCCGTCCTATCACAAAATCAGTGGAAGAGCTGAGGTGATTTCTGACAGGTCTGCATGTCAACTACCAGATCATTCTCTTCTTTTTGTAAGGCACTGTACCTCTAGTCCTGTGACACACTGGAAATCAAATAACCTTAATCTCTAGGTTGTTGACTGAAAATATCCTACCTCTGTTCTGTGAACCATCACCCAGTTTCCATCTCCAGTCTGCTTGTGGAATTCCAGATAAGGATCTGACTTTCCAAAAAAATCCTGTATTTAAAGAACATGTAATTATCGCAGAACAGCCTGTGGCATGAATGCCATTAAATACTAGTTAAAACACACTTAGATTAACAAAAAGTAAACTAAATATTCAGGGAACAAAAGCTTTAGCTGAAGAAATGCACGTCTGATTATATTACCACCTGTGAAAGAGAGGAAGAAAACGGGGCATGTCCATCAATTTACGATAAAAGTTCTGCAGTGTCCACATACAAAATACCTGACAGTTCAGGCAAAAGAATACTTACACTAATAACTACTATGATGCATAGTTAGGAAACTAAGGATTTCATCCAGTTCAAAAAAGTATCATTAAATCAACTGGGAAAAAAAATAAAACTTTTTCCATTATTATTTTTTTCTTAATTTTGTTTCTAAAAGTCTTTCTAAATACAGTATTTTTAGCCAGCACCAAAATATTTAACATAACAGATTTACACACTCCAAGTACACTCCTTACCATTTATTTGAGAGAGCTAACAGGTAATCATTTATACATCTATTCAAACCAATGGATATACCAACACTCCTTTATCTTTATCATTAAATGTAAATCTTTACATTTAAATGGAAGTGTGTTATTCACAGAATATCCCTGTAATGCACTTGCCTTATTTAGAAATTTTATAATTCATTTCAAAACAGTCAGTGAAGTTACTCTGAAGCCATCTTTCTTCAATTTCTTTTTTAGTGTAAGAAAAATCTTAATGGATTTAATTATTTCAGCAAAAAAATAAGAAAAAAACATTTTAATGTTTCCTGTTCTGACAAGATTTTGATTTTACTACTTTATCAAAGAAACAGCAATCACGTAAATACCTTATTGTCCAGTTTCCTTGCTTCTACTTCCAATACAACCACCCTGTTATCCTTCACTTCTTCTGCTGTAATCTAGATAGGCAAACAAAATAAAACACTTATATTGTATTCAGGAACTACATAGTTTTCACATATTCACAACACTCCTATGACAGGTCTATTAAAAAAATCATGTTTGCTCACAAATGAAGCATTAAAAAATTAGGTGGGGGAAGGGAGGAACAATTTGATTTGACATTGGGATACACTAGATCATGACACTGACAATTAAAGATACTGCCCAAACAGTAGCACATCAGATGGCCTAATTATTTTGATGGATGCATGAGACATAGATTCATAAGGTGGGCTGCTCTCTTTTTGGATGTCAAAGAAATACTAGTGGAGGAAAAAAAAAACATTTTAAGATGCTTTTTACAGCATTATAGATTAGACATACCGTGTTCAAGCTACTAACTAACTAAAAAAAAAAAACACAAAAACATTTAAGGATAAACGCTGAAGAGATTTATTGTCTTAATTGTCTTACCGTAATACTTCCTGTTCCAGCAGGTCTGCCATTTTTAAGTACTAATGGTTTTGTTAGAGTCCTGCTAGAAACTATCTGCAAAGACAAAATTGAGTATCAAGCATTATTAGCACAATTTAACAGATTTTCAATGTTTTCTCAGAAGTGTGTCTACTCATCCTACAGGTCCTTCTTTACTTTAAGAATGAAGGATTCATTTTAAATGGTTACTGAATTTCATTTCACAACGCTTTCGTTTTCATAATGCACTTAAAATAAAAGTAATTGAGACACAGGGGAGGAAAAAATCCCAAGAGGATTCTCCTGAGAAGTGCCTTTGAAGGATCTATTAGAAAGAACAAGTTAAAAAGAAGCTGCCCCATTATGATAGCACCAACAGCAGAATTTGACAGAGAAATGGAAGTGAATCAACAGTAAGCAGAACCGGAATCACTGCTTGCCTTAAGTGGAAAGCAAATTACAACATTAACATGGCCCTTGTGAACACTCTTACGTTGCTATACACTGATTCTCTTCTTATGGAGCATAAAAACAAGGATTTGAGTATTAGAGTAAATAAACAGCAATTACTACTTCGTGCTCATCAACAGTCGACTAACTTTCAGACAGCAATCTGGACAGTCACCATTCTAGAGTACATTTCAGAGCATCATCTCAAGACCTTTTGCAAATAAAATGTATATACACTGAACCGAGGCTTGAAAACACAAATGAAAGGAATACTATTCAACTTAAGAGTACCCCAACTACACAAGAACATAGTGATAAATTTAAGATAAAAGTGGTTATGATTTGCATTAACTTATATGTTCTTAATTCTAAGGGAAATCATCTGTGTACTTACTTGTCCCAGTGTACATTCAAATTCTCCTAAGAAGTCATCATCATTCAGATCAAAGGTTTTGTTATCGATGTCATATACTCCAAATTTAAGTTTCTGAACAAGCTCAAAATAGTAATCAATTAGGAATTTCTTAGCAAACTTTGGGTTCAAGGAATTCTTAACTCTTTCTGTGCGATCAACCTGCAGTTAGAAAGATATCACTTTAACCAGTATTTCACCAACCAAACAAGCACTCAAATCAAGCATATTATTAAAAGACTTTCAAAAGTTCTTCTTAGTATAAAGTATAAAGCCCTATCTTCCTACAAACCTTTCATCAAATATAAATAACCACATTATATTACGAAACTAACCGCTGTAAGTCAGAGATATTTGAAGACCTGGGGTTTTTTTTGCTCGCTGTAAGGATTATCTATTCCTGCATAGGGAAGACCAACATAAAAATGGTACATTGTCAAATCCAGGTTGAAACCCTACTTTTGGAGTACTGTAGTTACAAAAGCACATTTAAGCACTTGGAAGGCTGCCGCTGTTGGTCCACACATAGCTGGGGGAACAGTGCTAAAAATCAGACAGGTGTAAGCATTTATTAGAAAACAATTATTAGTGTGCTACCTGTATAACTATTATAGACATAATCTAATGGAACATATTCAGAGGTGCTGGTACATAATTAAAATATTTTAATGAAATCATACGCTCCAGTGTTTTAAAAGGTCCAACAAGTGAGACTGTGCTTTTAGCAGATTCACGAGAAGCATCACACTGTACCTCATACCACTGCTGACCACTCGTGTTCTGGAGAAGCACACACAGCGGGTCCGACTTGGAACCAACATCTTTATCCAAGAGATTGGTGCAGGCAATAGTCAGCTCCACCTTTGTCACACACTGTGCCGCCATTTGTTAAGCTAGAAAGCAGCAACAGAAATCATTATTTTAAAAATGGACTAAAAAGCAAACAATGGGACTATCACAATGTATTAGTTCTCTGACTAATCATTAGAATTATTAGCTTGTGAGGAGAGAGATTTGAGGCTCCAAATGCAAATTTTAAGATTTACGATGTACCAACATTACAGTATTACTGTCACACTCTTGGCTTTGCCACATAGGTACAAAACTTCATTTCAAAATTTGCACATAAGAAACAAGATCAGGCTTCTTAGAATGCTTGAGGAACCAAATGGAAAACAGGATACACCACAAAGAAAGCACGGTGGTTTGAACGGCTGACAATAAAACCTCACATGCCTTAAATTACACACTGTAAAGCCCACATGAATGCCAGTATCTTATAATGTAGATATTAATAACAATTCGATGAATAAGGAAAAAAATCCTATGATATACTCCCTCACCAAACCTTTGTAACAGAATGCTGAAGCCATGAGCATGGCAGAATTGGAAAAGGAGTTTAAGTGGGTAACAGGAATAGGTGGTCTTGCTTTAGTAAATCTTCAAAAACAACTACACTTTTTAATAATAGGGATAAACAACTTTGAAGTCAGGAAACAACTGAGAATTAGGAGGAAGTATTCTTTCTGGAGGTTCATTTAAAAAAAGAACAACTGAAAGCTTCCTCTTAAGCATCTTAATCATTCTCCACTGGAACTGAGAAGACCAGCAGATATTACAAACCTACAGAAACAACTTCATTATCAGTTATGAATCCCACTCTGGGATAATAGGCATTTGCAAGCCTAATTAGGTCTGAGCAGCAGATATTTTCTATATTAAAAAAAAAAAAATCTCTATAATTATACTCTTCAGGAATGCAGTTGATCATTTCCAACACCTCTCTGGGCGGTGAGCCTCTACAGTACAATTGCCCTTGACACTAAACAGAATAAGGAAGGAAAGCATCTGCTTCTAGCTAGCTAGCTCACTTGCATCATACACATATAGTGTACCTGAACATGAAACTATACTTAACCAAACACATCTCTCTCCCTTTCACTGCACTCACATGACTTTTGGTGAAAAGGAACTTTTTTTAGAGGCAAAAAGGGAAAGGAAGATGGAAAAGAGGAACGATGAACTGCAAACAAGAGAAAGCAAACACTGTGGTCTGAGGGAATTTTCCTGAGGCTTCCTGTATTCCACTAGGGCACACTTCACACGTTGCCTCTCCATCTCTGTTTTGCCATCTTAGAGATGGACCTTTTGGAGACTGAAGTAAATATAAATGATCTGTAAAGGAACCACTCAAACATCCATGCACATACATTACTGGTAAGAAGCATGTGAGATACACGGAAATCCCCCTGCACCTCCCAAACACCATCTTTGAGTATCTTTTGCTCCCATGACTTGACCAAGTTTCAGTCATTGTCCTTGAGGGAAAAAAAGTGAAGCTCTGAGTTCTAAGCATTTAAATTGTTTTTAAACCAATGTTTTTGAGGCTTAGAAAGCATACCTTTAAAAAGCAGTCTGCCCCCTTTTTCCTGGTTCTCTTTTTATACTGGTATTTTCCATTCCCTATTGCTTTCCTGGCTGCCAGACAGAGCTCATTAACAGTCAGTGGCTTTGCCCATAGAATCCAGTACAGACCAGTGCATGACTCCTTAATGGCTGTTTCCAGAAAAACAACTTTCTGCTGACAAAATGATGCTCTAATACCCACTGATGCTGCAACAGCAAGTAGAAAGGGTTTTCATGAAATTCAACAGAATTCAAAGTTGAATTGAGACATATTTCTCAAAACAGTGAAAATTTTCTTGCTCTAACTTCCCTGAAAGTCCTTATTACTACGAGTCCCCAAAAGGACTTGTAGCCACATTTCTTTTGTGAAAGTAACATTTCCAAAATCACTGGTAAATGGATAGCATCCAGTCAACCTAAAAATCTGGTGAGCCTTTTTGTGTGTGTGTGTGTGTGTGTCTGTGTGTGTCTGTGTGCGTGTGTCTGTGTGTCCCACTTCTCTTACATCACAAGTACTTTCTCACATGAATATGTCAATTCTGTTACTTCCTCTCCTCCTCCACGTATCACTGACTCTCCCACCATGCATCTAATGTGGGAAATCTAATGTGGGAAAAGAGCAGATTTAGCAAAAGAGTTGCTGTGCAAAAAGCATCCTTTAACACGCAGAGAAAGGAAGAATAAAAAGGCTGCTTCCCTTCCCTGAAATGCAAATGCTCTTGTTTGAGACCTAATAATTACGTCCATATTAGATAAAGACAACTTATAACAAGAACATGCATTTATCCAAGTGGAGGATACTCAACCTGAAACCCAGATACAAAAGCAAAACTTTCCAAATCCTGAGAAAGCCCTTTAATCTCTTCCATTTCCTGTGTGTGTGTGTGTGTGTGTGTGTGTGTGTGTGTGTGTGTGTGTGTGTGTGTGTGTGTGTGTGTGTGTGTGTGTGTGTGTTTGTGTGTGTGTGTGTGTGTGTCTGTGTGTGTCTGTGTGCGTGTGTCTGTGTGTCCCACTTCTCTTACATCACAAGTACTTTCTCACATGAATATGTCAATTCTGTTACTTCCTCTCCTCCTCCACGTATCACTGACTCTCCCACCATGCATCTAATGTGGGAAATCTAATGTGGGAAAAGAGCAGATTTAGCAAAAGAGTTGCTGTGCAAAAAGCATCCTTTAACACGCAGAGAAAGGAAGAATAAAAAGGCTGCTTCCCTTCCCTGAAATGCAAATGCTCTTGTTTGAGACCTAATAATTACGTCCATATTAGATAAAGACAACTTATAACAAGAACATGCATTTATCCAAGTGGAGGATACTCAACCTGAAACCCAGATACAAAAGCAAAACTTTCCAAATCCTGAGAAAGCCCTTTAATCTCTTCCATTTCCAGTTTTGCAAAATCCAAGATGAAAAATAATGCAAGGCATTTTCCTCAGAGGTTTTGAGAATATTAGGAATCAGTATTTGTATAATGGGTTGAAGAGGTCTGTAATACTTGTTATGCATTTCAAGAAATAATTTTGCTATTTTACTTGAGCAAAAGACAACATGATCATCCATAATACCAATATGCTTTACAGTAAATAGTTGTATACAACCTGATTTTCAATAACATTATAAACATTAAAAGTTAGTAAAATACTTACTAGTGAGAAAAAGTTCTATCTCATTAACCCGAAACAATATTTACGGTAGTGAAACTCAGTACATGAACAACAGATACTTCTCTTATAACATCACAGTCATTGCAGAACTTGCAGAGGGCACGCAGATGCTTCACATGTGTGAACTCAGAAGTTTTTTAAACGGCAATAGCTGTTGGAGCTCTACATATGCTGCACGAATCCTCGTAATCCCATACTGCATAAAAGGAAGAATGACTCCAGCCCCACCCAATTCTCCTTACATCCGAATGCCTGTGTTAGCTGAAAACTTCCAAAACAGGTTTGGGAGGTGGGTGATAGGATTCCTAAAGATGATAAACATCCTCAAGGATCAGAGTCACTGTCAGGTAAGTAAGCATGCTCTTTTTGAAGACTTGATGGAATACAGAGTCTGCCAAACTGCAGTCTCTTCAGGATGGTGGAAGTAAGAAATCATGGCTGCACTAGGGCATTACCTTTCAAAATACCATTCTACAACACACTATCAGATCTAGTAGGCAAATCAAATGCAAAGTATTTTAGATACATGACTGGATGACTTGCACATTTGGGATACTGGGATAACTTTACATGGACAGGTGATATTGTTCGGGCTCCGGTACAATGAGCTTTGACTGCCAATAAGTTACATCACATAAGAAGAGACTTATTTATTCAATTGGTTATTGTTATGGAAGTAACTATGCTCCCCATTGGCCAAATATAATTAAAACCTCTGCTCTTCTCAAGCTGTTTGTCCTCCACGTAGGGTACACCATAAAGTGAGGTAAAGCACGCCAGAATGGGGACAGATGACAGCTCAGTAGTCCTTTTTATTGGAATAGCTTTTATGACTGCAGGAGCATATCAGGCTCTTAAAAAAACACCGATCATTCTGGACAGGAGAAGACTGAAAATTACTATATAAAATGTATGGCAGAACTTGCGACATCTAGACTCTGAACTGCAGGAATGTATGGTCACAAGGGAGATACTTGTTCCTCATCCTATGCCATATCTAGGCTGCTCAAGAGCATAATTAGGTCAACTAAGTATATTAAAAGTGCTTCTGCTTGAGGTGTCATTAGAGCAAAACTCTAAGCCAAGGACTAGTCTTGTCTTGCAGTTCCACTGATCATAATGTTCTCTGAATTCCACTAATGATTCTATTGAAGGTAAGTGGTGTCCACCAAATAACCCAGCCAATGTCTGCTTTTCAACAGAAACTGTAAACATGGCATTCTACTTGGAAAGGAACAGATCTATTATCAGAATAATCTTCTAACAGAGCACTTGGGAACTGTCAGACTGCAGCAACCCTGTCAGTGCTGCAATACCAGAGGAGAGTACGGGCTTGCCCAGGTAACCTTCCAGAGTAGTACAATGATATGTTCATAACTACAGGTGCTTCCCAATCTGGCAAGCAGAAATACCTAAGTACAAGAAGACAAAAAGATTAATGAAGTGAGCACTGCTCTAGCTGGGTTTGGTATCACTGCTTTTAGTCACAAGTCTCAAACCTGTTCTGATGTAAGCTATTGCTGTCATAGAACGTTTCCTAGTTCCTGTGAACTACTAATGACAATAGACCAAAAATCCATATTTTGTAGTTACCTCCGGGCCCAGACGGACACAGAAAAAGCAGGGGAAACATTTCAGAACTTGCTAATAAAGTCTATTGCTGATCAGCTGATCTTCTAGCTGTAATGCTACACTTAAGTCTTTTATGTAAACTGTGTGCCAGACTGAAAAACTCAGTGCCATATACAAGCAGGACTCCGATCCTTCTTGGATTATTAAGTATCTCCCATGAACCTGGGAAGATTACAACATGGA